CGCACAATCAGATTTTCATCGTCGCTCTTGAATTCACCAATGGCCCTTACCGTCGTCAGAAGAAAGTAAAACCAGTGAAAACTTTTGATTATCACACTAGACCGATTGGTGCGACAAGACAGACGAACCATTGACTTGTGAGAGGATGAGTCATGTTAGGTTCGTGAGCGAAGGAGAAGGGGGAAAATGACAGCCTTCTGTGTTAGAGGGGCCTAGTAGCAAATCCGAGCGAATTCTATCATGGAATCCTACTGGAAAAATTCGGATACATATGCCGGACTTATATTGGATTTTGTCCACTTGATCTGCATGTGATACTAGGGGATTGTTCCGCGTCGTGACTGTCACCTAATAAGAATGTTCGTGCTCCCTGTGTCTCAACCGACGTGTCCAGAAGACAGTCTATGACGAGACGCGGGGGGCAAATAAACCCTGATGCCCCAGTTGCAGACAGTCTCAAAGCAGAGCAGAGCGCGGGTGACGGTTACCAGACCGTTGGTGCAGCGAGCGGTTACCACCTAGAGATGCGAGCCATGCGGAGCAGCTACAAAACTGGATTGGTATACTACGCACGCGGAGGAAAGGAGCGGCATATTGCGAGAGTTAGGAGCCAGAGTATTGACTCTCTCTGAAGATGGATAGACGAGACGAGTATCCGAAACGTCAGGCAGAAAAAAAATAAACTTCTCTCGGTGAACGCCCCTGTCACCTTATTAATCCTTCACCCACCAATTCCGGCGGCCCTATGACTTATTCCTACCGGAAACACCAATGGGTTCTGGTTTGGTGGCAGGATTGCTTCTACAAGGTCTGACTAGGATAGAGTAACTAGCGACACCAGTCAAATGGTTATTTTTTGATTTACTCTTTGATCAGGGTGTTGACCATGCTCTAAAAAGCTTCCCTTTTTGACCACTCAGGCGCCTGGCCCGTCTTCTGAAGCAGACGGAGGGAGAGAAGATCGTGGGAGGAACTTTCGATATGGTGGAAAAATACGTCGCGCCGACTATTGTTACGAATGTTCGAGCCGAAGATGTTCTCTTAAAAGATGAAGTCAACCTATTACCACGCTTTTTTAATTTACTGCTTCAATACCCGAAAGTACTCTAATAAATATTCCTCTTCTTTGACAGATTTTTGGCCCAGTTTTGCAAATCGTCACTGTTGACTCCTGCGACAACGCCATCCGTTTTGTTAACTCAAAGTAAGCACTTTACCATGCTGTTTCCTTGTCAAGGTAGTCCCTCGAGGTCGATGTTGAAGTCGTGGCTTACTCGTCAGTCTGTGTTTAGCGAATCAGACTTTTCTTGTTCAGTTCAGTCCAGTTGTATTAGTGGAAAGGTAAGGAAAAGTCTTTGAGCTCCCTATTAGTAACACAGTGCTTGGGAAATACATAAATACAGCCGAAAATTCACAGAAGAGGTTGAT